CCGAGATGCGCTAGAATACACACAGACAATTACGCACACGCACATACACACACTGGACACATGCAGACTGAGGTAAATACAGCTAACATGCACAGCTACAGCGACATAAATAAGAAGCTAAATGTGCACACATGCATGTACATTCAAAGTGATGTAGTAAAACATCTGCTTAAGTAGTTATGGAAACCAAAGAGCGGTAAAATAAATGCAGAACATGCAAATCTGTAAAAACAACGTAGTAGATATAAAGTGCAGGATTAGTAACAGACACAAGTAAGAGATTAAAAAAAAAACATACACACAGTGGCAAGCAGACATAGATGTACATATTCTGTATATCAATGCACACACACCAGCAGTGTATAACAGATGTCAGACTCTTCCTCCCCCACTGACCTAGATTAATGACGATAGGGATGAACTCTGACTCCCACCTCCCTGACTACTACAAGAAAAAGATCAAGTTTTAAAGCAACTTCGCATAGTTTCCTCATGAAACAAACTGAGACAAATTTAAAAAGTCAGTGTTTCTATAGTCTTCTTTTTCTGACTATACAATGTCCACTGGATAAGAAGGAGGGGAAAACCTTAAGATCGCACACACTAACACAAATCAGTAAAGCTGGAGGCATTAAGCTAACTGCAGATATTCATTTGTTTCTAGATACAGCACCATGAGTGTGAGCTGGATGACAAAGAGGTTATAGGCCCGTCTTGATTCCCTGGATCTCTTCTCTAATGCATGCAGAGTTTGAGTTCTGTAAATTTTTTTGATTCATTTAATTTCGTTTGACCAGGCAAAAACTATATATGTAAGATTCATTTTAAAAAAAAGTGCAGCAATGTACATGATTGTGGATCTACTCGGCCAAATACAAATGAGTCTGTTTCCTTAAAATCTCTGTTGTTTGTGTTTTTTAAAAGTGAAGTAATCTCTTACAGTGAATAAAAAAGATTTTGACACAATTGAATAAGTAATAATAATACTACTAATACTAATAATACTAGTGGGTTTTTAGACAGATTTTTTAAAACCCGTCTAAAAACCCACTTTTACTCTTTGGCTTTGGACCCAGTATGAGACGGCATCGTTTTATTGATTTTTTTTTTTTTAATTCACTTTTTTAAAATATTTTAAAACAACTACTTATGGTTGTTTTATGTTATTATGTTATTTCGTACAGTACTTAGTGTCAGCTTTAGTTGTATTTAAAGTGCTCTATAAATAAAGTTTAGTTGAGTTGAGAGAATAAATAACATAAATAATAATAAATAAAGATAAATACATTATGTTGTAATTGTTCCTTCTCTCCCTAAAGAAGCTTTAAACCTTGCTTCAGAGTTTTTCCCCTATGGGAGGAATGTTTTTCTAATTATCTTATTAGAAAGTGCAATATTTTTTATCATTTTTGTTCTAATATTACAGTTTTTTTTTTTTCAGATTGCATTCTCATCACATAAATATAAAAGCTTGACTGCAAAGATCTCCAAATACAAAAAGATGTCACTCACCTGTGTTTAGTGGTTCCACCTTGTCTCCTCAAAGCGCAGGAAACTAAAAGATAAGATTGTCAGGATGGTTCTATAATTGCAGTTCAATTGCAGCTTAAGTCTTATGTGCATAAACAAGAAAAAAATTTCATAAAAGTCGGCAAAAATTGTTAACACTTTCAATGACTGATCAACAATACCTTGACCTCCAACAGGGAACCCGTTGAAGCAGAGGGTATCCTCCATCTGAGTGGCAAAATAGGTGTCCGGCTTCACTGTAAAAACTGAAGATTCTGCCTCTGTGTGCAGGAACACACACTCACACACACACAGACAGCAGAAATCATTGATTAGTCTAAGCCGGGGCTAATAGTCAGCCCCAGGTTTCAGCACCATCAGCTAAACCAATGGACTGGAACCTTCTGGTCTCAGAGGACCACAGTGTGTGTGTGAGTGTGAGTGTGTGTGTTATCCTGAGAAAAAGGACTTAAATATGCTACAACATCATTAAAACACCAAAACAAAGAAACCACAGTCTTTGCATCACATATTTTAGCTTTCTGTTAAGCCACTGGAGTTGACTTCTGGCTGAGATACAAGATGCTGCTTGCAGTGAATACTAAACTAAGCACTGTGTGTTAAACTACAGTGTTGTAGCAGAAAGGAAGGAAGAGAGAGGCAGTGAATAATTATTCAAAAATGCCATCACATTTTTGACAGATACTTAGAGCTATTGAGTTGAGACAAAGAAAAAATTTATATATATATATTTTTTTTTTCATCAAGAGTAAATTTCAGTTTGATACGGTTTCATTTTTGTCACTATTTTGTTTGAAATTAAAGGTCCTGTGGGTAACTTATGGTTTGTGTCTGTTTTGGTGTCCCTGGTAGATAGTTTTTGCTTATCAGTGTCCTCTGACAAAAAAAAAAAAAATAATAACTCTTAAATCAGCTCCCGTCAGATTATCTGATTAACAGTACACAGAAATAAGAACATACAAATATCAGTGCCAAACAGTCTGCCCGTCTTAATTACTAACTAAAAACTCATCACATGAGCTTTACTGTAACATCCCTATTGATGTCCTTTTGTTGTCTTGTTATACCAAATAACAAATTTGAGACTTTAGTTTTGGAAGTAAAGCAGTTATATCAAACTTAAAGCTCCTGTGATGAACTTTTGGCATGTGTAAATTTTGGTGCCCTCTATGGACAAAGCAGTCTGCTCATATTTTATGAGAAAATTGTGATAACAGGGGCGCTTGTTTAGCTGCTGGGTTGGCACCTACCCCCTCACATTGCATTAAGACATCAAAAATTGCAGTATAAGAATTGTCAGCTTTATTGCTAATGTTCTTGTTGGCTTTTATAAATCATGAAAAGGTATCATATGAACTTCAGTCTATTTCATAAACATGTAAAAACTCCTTACTGTAGCTTTAAATAGATAAAAAGGGCCATTAACTCTGATATTTTAAGGGCTCAGCTCAGCTTTATTATCTGACAGCAAGTGTTGATATAATCAATGTTTCATTTCTGTTTAATGTGAACTGAGGGTTCACATTTTTCTAAATCACATCATATTGAATTTCCTACAAAAGTTTGTCGTGTTCAGGTCTTATTTGGAGCCTAAAACACATTTTCAAAGGCAGAGAGAATCACGAATTGACATAAGTACATAAGACTTAATGAAAGGAGGGTAGATGCATTGGTTACGTTTTCATAAGTTTTTGGGTTTGCAGCTTGCCTCTGTTTTTGTCTCTATGAAATGATAAATTATGTATGTATGACTGGGTAACAGTGATTGACAGGTCGTTATCACAGTTGACTAAGGAGTCTCCAGTCAGAGCAGGAGGCCAGCTGAGGACTTCATCTACCGGGCTACTCTGTATGCGGCGGTCAATACAGCTGTCAATGAATCAGTCAGCTATTTCAGGTAATTTGTTGTCCGTTCACTTACTCAGAGGCACTTAAAATGAAACAAGCTTCGTCAAGGGATTCAGCATCACTCATACTGCGAAACTGCCTGATGCATTCATAACACACTGAAAAATATATCAGGGACCTATTTACAGTATTAAGTTTTTACAATGTGTTATGCCCAACATGTTTGAGTTTGTTTTACCTTTTTATGACAAATTCCTTCTTGACAGTCCAGGCAAAAATAGAGCAGAAAATTTGCTAGTTTTCATCAAAAAACAGAAAAAACAAGTAAAACAAGGAAAAATAAACATGGAATGAACTTATTCCTTGAATTAGTTCTCACCAAAGCTTCACAGCTATGTCTAATGAATCAGTTTTTAAGGATTTAAGATGACGAGTGGCAGCTTACACTGAACTTAACAGAAGTTATGGGATGAACATTTGCATTTAAAACAATATTTTGCCATAAATTGTTAAAGTTTTCCAACAAGAAATCATAAAGAACCAAAAAAGTAACATTTGATGATTTCATCCTATTAATAAACCCTGTGAGTATCAAAGATCAGATGTCAAAGCAAATAATCAACATAGTTAAGCCTTTAAAATGCAGTTTCTTGGTGTGCTGAAAGTTATTTTTTTAAATACTTTTTCAAACAGCTTATTACAGTACAACAGGTCTAAAGTTAGCAGGTGTACATTTAATTGCTTATAGTTACAGGATCTTAAAATGACCTAAAATGAAAGGGCCAAGTTTATTCTTGACTTTAGAAACAGCAGAAACAAGATGCTGTTTTAAATGAAACAGCATCTTCATATCTGAGATTGAATATAAATAACAGTGAAATCAAACTTACCACCAGCTGCTGAAGAAGGCCCCACGATTTCTTCAAAAGCTACTGATCACAGCTCGTAATTCAGCTGTTTTGTTTACTGTTACAAGATTTGTTTTCTCGGTGTAAGCGTACTAACTCAGCCTCTCTTTTCCTCTCTGGTCATGTTACAAACCCACCAGTTTTTTCAAATTAACACCCTCATGTCAGCAGCAGCTCTGGCTGAATCGGTTGTTCTTTGTGCTTAGTTAAGCGCAACAAACAGGAGAAGTGATTTAACATTGGAGAAACTAATGTTGTATGAAGTCTGTTAGCTGTAGTAAGGCAAGGTCACTAAATACTGCAGGGGTTTTAAGAAGCAGTTGATTAATCACTGCAGACCTTAAGTTACTTTATGGATCATGGCAACAGTGTGACATTGAAGCAATAATGAGGGTATACGCTTAGTGTAATTTGTGTTACTTAATGCTGGATCAATGTTGAATGATAATATTTATTAGTTTTAGCACAGTGGTTCTCAAGTCCAGTCCTCGAGGCCCACTGTCCTGCATGTTTTGGATGTTTCCCTGCTCCAACACACCTGATTCAAATGATCAGCTCGTTATTAAGCCATTTCAGAGCTTGATAACGAGCTGATCATTTGAATCAGGTGTGTAGGAGCAGGGAAACATCCAAAACATCCTCGAGGACTGGACTTGAGAACCACTGGTTTTAGCAGGTCCAAGAGAGAACAGAAAACACTGTAAGGAAACAGAATGGGTGGTTTGAGAACATTTATTATCCAATTAAAATATATTCCAGTTTATTTCAGAGAAAACATTTGTGACAAATAAAGAAAATGTTTAGAAATGTTCCTTTCACATTCCAACGTCTTGATGTGATCTTTAATGGCAATGTTTGGAAAAAAAATATGGTTAAACATGTTAAATCATAAACAGACAATAACTGTGGCTAATTGTGTAAGACTTTATTCTTTCTGTCAGATATCTTAGCTGTACAATTAGTTGGAACGGAAGATGCTGGTTATTTGTACGATGGGAACGATGTGTTTCGACTCTTGAGTACAAAAATAGGAAAAAAAAATACTCTGTCATATGGATTCTCTCTTTTTTGTTGCTGTTTTCTTTGTTCTTTTCAAGCTGTTTTAAAGTCTGAGTTAAGAGAAGGAGCTAAACAATGATGCAAAGATAAAAATAATGACAGCGACTAAATGTAAGAGGTTTTCATATTTGAAATAAGTGGCACTGAGTAGGACTCTCGCAGAAATACATTTACCATTATACTGGCATAAACAGATCTGTAAACAATTTTTATTAGATATATTTTTCCACCTTTTGATGTTCATATTGCCTTATTCTATCTTTAACTAAGTCCCGATTTCTTCAACTAAATTTAGTATCGATAGATTAGATTATTCCTACACAGATTTAGTTTTAGATGTCAATGCAAGATTATCTCAAGAAATTTTTGGCCTTGTTGTTGCAGCTCTGGTAAAGGGAAATGTTCTGAGTGATATGGCGGGAACAGAAATCCTGATTTAACGATGTTTGATGATATAGCTGAAAAAATGTAAAAAAAAAAAACAAAAAAAAACAGGCACACCTCAGAAGGAGCTCTCTGTCTGGTAGTGCAAGTTGAGGATTTCCTGTACTTTCCTTTTACTTCAAGTTTGTGGATTTATGCCAATTTGAAGCCTTCACTGTGATGACAATAAACGGAAGAGGAAAAAAGCATTAAACTATCAAAATACTGGTAAAATTACTTGCTGCCAGGAAAATAAGAGATATGCTTTCTTTTTCATAAAACTCTAAAATACTTTGGATGGCAAATAAACTCACTTAAATTACTTCAGAAAGCAAAAATTGTAAAAACTTCATTTAAAAGAATTGCAAACTCAAATAATTGAAATTCTAATAGCATTGAAAAATACTTCACTCTTTAAATGTAAAGAAAACATATTCAACACTTCATTTTATGTGTGAAGTTTCAAGTGTGTTTCCTTCAGTGCTCGTTGTTAGTCCAGGAAGACTTCTCCTGTCAAAACAAGGAGGCTGACTTGTCTCAGACAACAAGTCGAGATTTTAGAACTAAATCAAAATTTACACAAAATAAATAATCTGCCGCGCTTGATGAAAAGGAAGGTACAGACTACTGAATAGGAATATCTTGGAGGTGCGAGGTTGCTGCATATCTGTCTTCACTAAAGAGTGAACTTGGGCGTCAGCTACATTTCCCATTAACTGCAAGTGAGGTCGAGACAGTAGGGTTGTGCCACATTTGTGCTGAGAATGAGTGACTCTTAGCTGGAAATGACTTTTTTTTTAAAGGAGAGTCACCAAATTGAGTTGTTTTTCAGGAACTAACTCTTATATACATCTTGGGAAGTGTTTGTGTTGAGAGACTTGATATGACAGAAGAGAGTTGACAGTGCAGAGGAGATATATTATCAGGTATGCATGATAGTCAGAGTATGACCCATATTAAGTTTAAGAGCCAGCCTGCATCGAACAGGGAGTATGTATAGACAGAGGGTGTGAAGAGTCATCAGTACTTGGTGCTGGAGTCATTAGCACAGCGGCTGACGTAGGCTTCGTAGATGGTGTCCAGGAATGAGCTGTCAGTCTGAAACACACAAGCAGGCACGCATGCACATTTACATTTGCACTTTTATTGCACTTAACCTGTGATTTAAATCCGATTTCAAACAATATGTGATGTGAAATTGTTCATTTCTTCAGCTAGTTGAGTTCATGTTCAGTGAGTTTGGTGATTATGTAAATTAGAATGCCAACAGGGTAAGCAAAACCCCCAAAAAATCTAACCCAGTGCTTCCTGTGTTGGGAGTTAGGGCACTTTTTTCTTACTTGGATCAGATGCAAAAGTGAGGCTTGAAGCTGGCTTTTGGTCAGAACTCTAGGGTCCCCCTGAAGTGAGGGTCCTGGCAGGTTTAAGGGGGCAACTGCTGACAACCCACTGCCAGATTTTGCCTGAGTGAAGACACTGGGGGAGAGGAGCAGATCAGGGGCCACAGTGGCTGGTATCCGCTGGGGGGAGATGACCTGGATAAACACAGCTGACTATTAGTCTTAATTAATTCTTTACTCTCCCTTGTGAATTTTGACCCAACCTAGAAACCAACAATGAGAATAAACCGTCATTTAGTCAACAACACTGTCAAACAGAGCTTACAGTGCCCACCTGAAACTGCAATGCAGCTTTTTGACCAGCTGTGACTGTGCTCGGGTTGAGGACAGGTGCTACCACAGAACCAACACCCTGACCCTGAGTGGGCCCCAGAAACCGAGGGGCTAGTCCTGGACCGCCGAGTCGAGGAGGGTCATGGGAGGCCAAAGTTTGCTCTTGCTGGACCAGCTGGAGCTTTTGTAGGAGTTCATGAGGTGACACCACACCAGGCATCTGAGAGGACAGAACTGAAGGGAGGAAATGAGAAAAAATGAAGACAAACAAACACTGCACAATCAAATACCTGTGAGAGTGTAACAAGACTGACTAAATGACTAACTTACACTGTTGATGAGCTTAAAGGACTATTCCGGCGTAAAATTAATTTAGGGTCAAACACACTGTAACATTGAGTAAGACACCCCTCGAGAGATGAATGTTGCCGACCGCTTGCTTCTCTAGTTATACCAACTTTAGTAACGACCGCAGGATAGCAAGACACAGCGGTCTGAGGAGCCATAAACAAACCTCAACCAAAACGACACTTTATAGCCACAAATAATTCTCAGAACAGCACCGACTGAGGCGGTAGGGGCGCAGCTCAAGGAAGAACATTTATGATCATTTCATAACCGCAATCAGACCGAGGCGCTAAAGCAGAAGAACTAACACATCTGCAGTGCACAATTGTAAATATGATGATTATTAATTCAAGGAAATGATAAAGAAATGATCATAAATGTTCTTCCTTGAGCTGCGCACCCCCGCCTCAGTCAATGATGGACTGGTTGAGGTCTTGCTACAAACAAGCGGCTGCTGGAGGAGAGTAGGTGAGTTGTGTTTAGTCTCTTTTCTAAAGAAATTAGGCAAAGCTAAATAGATGTTTGGTGGCTAGTGCTGTGGCTGGGACCCTATATGTACTGTTGATGAAGTTAGGTGCTGTTCTGAGCATTATTTGTGGGTATAGAGAGGCTTTTTGGATGAGGTTTGTGTGTGGCTCCTGAGATCTCTGTGTATTGCTATCGTGCGGTCGTTATTAAAGTACGTATAAATGGAGAAGCAAGCGGTCGGCAACATTTATCTCTTAAAGGGAGGGTCTGACTCAGTGTTACGGTGTGTTTGACCCTAAATTAATTTTACGCTGGAATATCCCTTTAAAGACATTCAATTAAATCAATAAAAGGGAAGTAAATACATTCTTCATTACAACAGATACTAAAATACATAACAATTAGTAGTAGACCAATCACAGTTTTTCAATGGGCTCATGCTGTTACCACTGTTTGTTTTTTTAAAGAAACTAATGTACTACCTTGAGGAGGTTGGAGGACTTGTTCATTCGTCACCTGAGATGGCAGCAAACCTATTAAAGCAGGAAAAACAGAATTGAAATGATAGAGTTGCTGTTGCAGTCTTTCTTTGTTTGGCTATCAGTTATGTCATACACTTTATTTATTAATAAAATGTGTTTGGCAAATATGTCAACAAAACTACGCACCAATATCTGCTTCAAGCGTAAAGAGTATAATTACTTAGTGCACAGTAAAGCTGCTTTTTCATTGCATGCTGGGAGTATAATACACGCCCCACCTGCTGCCTGTACAGCTGAAGCCGGCTGGCTACTGTGCTGCGCCTCTGCTGGAGGTTTACTCAAGTTGACAAAGTGCTGCTGGCCTTGCTGCCCTTGAAGGTGGGACCATGACACTGAGTCCACCATTACAGGATGGGATGAGAGATGAGGGTTCTGCTGCAGAGGAGGAGGAAGAGGGTGGGAGCGACACGGCTGTGGAGCGTTGGCCGGGAAAGAGGTGGAGGAGGGAGGAGGAGGTGGCTGAGTTTGAAACAGTCTCTTGATTGGGTCAGGTTGAAGCTGCTGATGCGGCTGCTGAGGATGAGGAAGATGATGGTGCTGTTGATGGTGATGGATCAGATGGTGATGGTGGTGGTGATGCTCAAGAGGCACCCCATTGTCACACAGCCGGTTTTCGGGCGACTCAGACACAGTCTGAAGCAGCCCTCCGACCCCCCTCTGTCCCTGCATGAGCTTCTGGATAGCCGGGCAGTGCTGAGGCTGCTCCTGCTGCTGCTGCTGCTGACCAACAACATTCCCACCATCATCCCTGACTGTTTGCCCTCCAATCACAGCCCCAAGGCCTCTATCTGGACCCCCAGACATGACCACATTCCCTTCTTTGGAGGTGACACCTCTGCCGGCGTTCAGCGTCTCCTCATATGTGAGTGTGCGGGCCACGGGTGGACGGGTGACTTTTGCTATTGGTGACCCAGTTCCAATTACAGGGGCAGCTAAGGGCGACACTGGATTAGGTTTGGGGGGCTGGTTGTGCGGCTGTTGGGTGCCAAAAAGGGTGGCCAGGGAAAGAGACTTGGGTTCAGCACCTTCTGTGTCCTGGAAAGAAAGACGAGAAAGAACTGAGATGAGAAGAGATGAAAAGAGGACTGACTATATGTAGGTCGCTCTGAAATATTTTTTGGACACATACACTGATCTGCATCTGGGCCGTCATGTGACCCAAAACTCTACCACAAATTCGACTTTTACAAAGCTTCCACTTTTTGTTGACCTAAGTGCTCTTTTAATTAATTGTTTAACCTGCAGGAGTGCGTTACAAAGAAAGGTGTTCGAGATAGACACTTTTAAAAACAGAAGAAATGGGTTCAGGGATTCTACCTGAGTGTTTGGTTTGACAGGGATTGGTTTGATCAAGTTTGGGTTTCCACTAAGAACACTACTACCGCCGATCTCCTTCGGTTCTGATGTAGACTGCCCCTGAAAAAACGGTATATTTCATAAATAACAGAAATATTTTTCATTTACATAGGGCTTTTCAGAAATACACAATACACCTTAAATAAGATCCCAGATGAGAAACATAAGTAAACATAAGTAAGTGACTCTTTGGCTGTCTGTGGTTAATCCTACCTTGTCATATTCTGTGCGTGCTTTCGTCAACATCTGGATAATGTCCACTCCCTTCCCTTCACTCCCTCCCCCAATTACTCCTCCTCCACCTCCTCCTCCAGGGGACAACCATCCACCCTGAGACTGAGCCAGGGCCTGCTCCTGCTGGGTCAGACTACACACAGACACACAAGTGAGTCCATGAGGGAATAAATAGAAGACATAATAAACAAGCAGCAGAATGATGAACTTTTTTAAGGGTGAAATCATCACATGTAGTATACTTTCTGATTTAAGTCAGTGTACTGTATTTCCTAAGCGTGGGAGCGAATGAAAATGTGCACAGCTTGTTAATTGTTGACAATTTGTTTGCTTGAGACTCAGACCCAGTTCCATTAATAAACATATTTGGATGTTTCTGCTCTGTGGAGGCTGAGAAATAGAACAACAAGCTCACTCTCTGGCTCCTCTGTAGCATATGTCATTTCAATTTATGTGTGTTTTCAAGGCTGTACATGCTTTGTTTGTGAATACACTTTAAGCACTTACATCTTCATCTTCTGGGCAATGCGTTGACAGTCCTCCTTATCATAGAACCAAATCCCATGGATAACTACTGAGAAGGGAGAGGGACAGAAGGGAGACAGAAAGGGGTAAATTTTCATCAGTATATCATCGAATAAAATCAAACCAACCTGCAGATTAATATTTGAGATGCACCAACCAGCAGGTTCAAATGAGACAATCATATAAACGCACATACAACTTTTGTCCTTCTCCGCTGCTTTGGCATCAGTACAGTCCCGTTGGACATATAAACCGTTTATTTTTGGCCTTACTAGATCTAAACGAAGTCATCTCCCAATGGGAGCAGAAGCTCGCAGCGCCATTAAACGTCCCAGGAGTATCCTAAGTTACATAAGCATGGTCAACAAGGGAGAGCAAAGATAACATCCACACCTGTTTGTAACAGGGTTTTACAGAGAGTAGGCAGCATTTCATCACACAGTGACTCATCCTACTGTCTTTGTTTGTACCAGCTCTAAAAGGAGGATCAAACAGGAAGCTTTGTTTACACAGTTTTTCAATTCTACTTGGTAAGGAGAATTTTACCCTGGGAACAAATGAAGTAAGGGACATTAAAACAGAGAGGGTCCGCTCTCATTTATCCACCCTAATAAGTCTCTAGGTTCCAAAACTTTGGCATCTCAAACACAGAAACACTACTTATTCTCAATATTAAAAAAAAAACTGCTAGGTATCAAGAGTTAGTTCAATACATTCAATAACTCCACACATACTCCATGTAGTGATGTTGTTAACAAAATTAGATATTGCACCAGTAATGGCCCTTCCAGTTTCATGGACATCTGTTTTTGGGTCTAGGTATGTGATATGATATGTGATATGTGCTTAGTTCTTACGCTGTCAGCTTGTCTTTCAAACACAACCATCTAACAGGTGTTTAAACGGGTTTTAAATAAGACAGCAATTTATAATTATTTGGTCAGTGATAAATCTACAAATCATTTCTAGATCAATCTGATCATGATTTGTAAAAATATTCAATTTTTATCAGAATGTTGCTTTTGTTTTACTAACAGTTTTAACACAGTGCATTCACAAAATAACTTAAAGCAGAAAATTATCCCATTACAGAAGCTACAGCGAACAAAAATTTGACACTGTTCCTCTTGAATTTTTTAGACTGTAAAAAGGACATGGGTGCGGTCTCTGTATAATCACTAATCAGCTACTGAAGAGACATTTTGAAGCCCGACGATGGAGAAGACGTAAGAAATGCATCAACTTTTGATTAACATAGTTGGAGCTGAGGTGTGCTTTTAGCACCCTGGCAAACAAATACAGCACACTCAACTGTCTGTAAGCTTAACCTCTAATCATGAAGGTTTTAAATAACTTTTAGAAAGTCTATGATCTGAGAATTTCACCTCTGTACAGTATGTATGAATAAATAAAAATGTTACATCTCCAAAAACACAGCTGTAACACATTTCTAATATGGCGGTAAAATCCCAGTGGATGCTTCAGGGACAGCAACCTTAAAATCACAGGTTCAACTTTAAAAAATTGCCAGAAAAGATTATAGTTTCTTTTTAGATGACTTCTTAGAGCTTTTTTCTTATCATTTATTCATTATTTTCTATCATTAACAGTGTTATTTGAAAACAAGGTATCTCTATTCAATAGCTTAGAATAATTGTATTTCATGAACCAGGATAAAAATACATAATATCTATATGTTGTCCCAACCCCAAAGATGAATATGAGTAAGGGAGCACTAACCTGAGCAGCTATTCAAAGCTAGCTTTTGCCCCTCGATTAAGAATTACGATGGCAAGCTCACGTACAAAAAAAGACTTTGAGGTCTGATACCAAGTTCTTATCACGGCAGCCTGGCATCGCCTCGCACCTCAACACACTCTGTGTCTAAAGTGGATCTCAAAGGGAGATAACATCGCAGATCCAAAAAGAAAAAGAGGTTAAGTGTTAATGATATGAGAAAGAAGGAGGAAAAACATCCAAATGCAGTGGAGAAGCGGGATTTAAAAAGACAAAAGAGATTAAATTGAGACGCACGCTCATTCCCACACAGACAGACATGCAGAAAAACACACAAACACACTTTTAGCATCAAATGAGATCGGACGAGCCACTGGGGTCAGTATGGAAGAAGGCAACAGGCAGAGAGGGAGAGGCACACACACACACAAAAACACACCCACACACACAAACACTCAAAGTGCAGTTGAGCCTGGGAAAAAATCAGCCCCAGTACCAAATAAGTAACTGCAGTGGGAGCCTGTCTGGAGGAGCCACTTAGTGCTCACTGGGGATGAGACAGTTTGACAGAGACGGAGAGACACGCGGTCAAAGTCAGAGAGCTGGAAAATCAAGAAAAAATAAGGGAGACCGGGATAAAATAGGAGGAAGTGAGGTGTGAGAGAGAGGAATCATTAAAGAGTCCATCAAGAGGTGAGATCAGGTTAGGAGAGCTGTCAGGAAAACAGAGCTATCAGGTCTGTCAATGAATGAAAAGGGTAAAAAAGGAGAAAGAAAAGAAAGAAGACAAAAAAGAAACTTTTAAACAGAAGACAGTGTGACAGGTTCTCACTAGTTTAAGCTGCTTTGACCCTCAAAAAGCCCCAAACCTCAATGAGATAGAAACCCCTCAGAGAGAAAGAGAGACAGAGAGTGGGTGGAGGGAGGACTACAACCAGTAGCACTGATATAAGTGGTCACAAGTTTAAGCTATCGGAGTGAATGTTTGAGAGAAAGGGGTTCCAGACAACAGATAGGGAAGAGGGAAACTCTTGAATAAGCAGAACAGGGGGTACCGAGTTATGGGACCAGGCTGCGAACCTTAGTGAAATGTCACAGACGACTCTAAATGAATATGACCTTACTTTTCACAGCGCCGTTGAGGACTACTGGCAATTTCTGCTGTAATGAATTTTCTGGATCGTCTGTATTCTACAATCGAGTAACTTTGATCGAGGACTAAAGCTGTGTGCTTACTTCAAATTCTCTGTGGCTAAGACAAACCGGGCTACAGGCAAGCACTGAACCACGTGGGCTCTCACAGGACTCTCACAGGACTTGGAAGCATCTACATTTTGGAGGAACATTGCTTCTTTCTTTTCCTAACTCTGGGAGGCATCAGCTAAATCTGTCATTGTCCATAATTACTACTCTACTGGGACTCTGCCTTTAAAAAGACGCTTCAATAATAATCGGCTTTGTTTTGAGGCAGCGTTGCATTTTTTCCTGAGGAATTGTATAACAGTTTAAAGATACAGTAAGTGTATTTGGCTGATTTCCAAAACGGCACTACTGGGACTACTCTGAAGATAGTACAGGAAAGACATTTCTAGACAGAAGCTTTATCCAAGATGGATTAGGTGTGCCGATCGGCTCTCACATTGACAAACATGCATGCTTGGAACAACTGTTATCAAAGAAGAACTGTGCCTACCTTTGTTTGTAGGACTGGAATTGATGGTATTAAAGGAGGAGAATAAATAAATTCAGATTAACATCTATAGAAACTCTCATCTGAGAAGATATTACGGCGATACGTCTCCCCCCCTAAAGACTGACAGCAGGCGAGTTCAAACTGCTCTCACAGCTGAAGTCTAGTTCTAAGGAGGATTTGCAACAATCCCCCTAACAGCAGAAAACAATCCTCTGAGAGAGGCATCATCACACCACCTCAGGCATCAACTTTAATACTTTTTTTTTGGCCAGATAAGGGATTAATGTGGCAGCAGTTAAAGGTCCAATCTGAGCAACTTTAAGCCGTACTGAGACCCTAGAAAGTTACCACCAGGCTTCAAGACCACTGAGAGACCTACGGAGCCATGTTCAGAGGCCTGTTTCAGAGGAAACCTAAACATGAGAGACTGGAGGAGGAACCGGAGGTCAGATTTAAAGGATCCCTGGTAACTGAGAGGGACCTGGGTTACACATTTGTACGACCTGGAGGTAAGAAGGTTTTACACCTGATGCACACAACGCCTGCTCCGTAGAGTTCAGGTCTATAACTCATCCAGAATACACGTAAAATGTGCAGTTCGCTTAGATCTGCATCAGTGTTACATTTAAGAGTTGAGAGGGCTTCAAGTCATGGTTTACGCAAAATCAATTTACCAGCTACACAACAAAATAATCATGTGCTCTGTAACAGGCAAGGCTGGTTTAGTCATAGAGCACCGTTCATACATAAAGCAAATCAGAGCACTTTACAGAGTTTAACAAAGATGAGACAACATAAAGAGCGTTAGATGAAATAGGACACTTAGCAAAAAGGATTCAAATATATCTTCATAAAAGATTCAAAGGAAATGAAGAGTCAGACATTCAAGCGAAAATAAGATATCAAAATATTTGAATTACCGGAAGTTTAGTGATTAATGATTCACAAATAACTCTAGTAACCTACCGTGTTTCTGTGCTCCTGAGTCCTGACTACATAGTCCAACCGTCCCAACAGACACAGCCGAACGAGTCTCATCTTAATCAAAATGGATTCCAGCTTCCTTAAAAAGTATCTGAAGAATCTGAAGAAGGGGCTTCGCTTGCCATCATCAGATGAAATATGCATCTACAGCTTTGGAAAAAAACTCCCAAGACCGCTGCCAAATATGTTTTACTCTGGCTACTTCACTATCTACAGCTTCTTGTTTGAGTGAGATACATTTAACAAAATTTCTCCATACTTCCAAATGAAATTTTATCAATGCCGAAACAGGCCAAAATGGTAAAGCCATTGCAGGGTGTTCAGAAAAATACTGCACAGTGAAAACAAATAGATGTATGAATAGATGCAGACAAATTTAAGTTCTTTTAGCCCCTAATTTTTTCTCCATATTATACCAGCTTTAGCTAAAGGTGAATGTCTGATTATTTAATGATTTTCATAAACTGATATCATCAACAGGGAGGAGACAGCCTATACTGATACCAAGCCTAGACATAAGTGTATATTGCTGGGGTCCTAATGATTGTACCACCTCACTGTATTTTTTCTTTTAAATCAAACATGGCAGTGATATCAGTCCTTCCTTGTCCAAATGTGCAGTGGAGACATGATATACATGAACCACAGCCAAAAATCAACCCACCACCTGTGGCACAGTGAAAGGACTTCACCTGCTGATAATGGGGCGACTGAGACACTGATGTTGGATCTCATGAGAAGGAATGGAAAAGCTTTTTAGCTGTCATCTTTGCACTGCAGGAGGAATCAGGACTTACTCACACCACATTTCTCTCCCTTGAATCTTGCCCCCTTCTGTTGTATATCTCCAAAGTTTATTTTTAGCCCCGGGTGCCACTTTGTGCCAACTGCCATTCCAGGAAGTAACGGCAGCACTGAGAGTTAAATGTTTGTCTAATGATAAGATTCCACGACCCCTGAACACAGGGGTCATGACACAGTGGGACTGGCAGCGTTACACACACAGCCTGAGGCATACATGGTCATACAGATCAGAAGTTGGCCGGGGGAAAATAGAAAAAAAGCATGTTTCCTAGGCTGGGATGTGTTCCTGATTGTATAGAGTTTTCTGGAAGAGATTCCTTCACGCTTAAACATCATAATCCGGTAAATGCTTGTTGATTGTTGGCTTTGTCGTGACGGACTTGGGAGGCTTGACAGTTTGATTCCACATATCTGCAAGCAAAACATTTTGTTTGGATCCAACAATGCTAGTAAATTACAGCAGTTGCCGTGATAAAAATCAGTTTGAGTGTAACCTTCTGTATTTCTCCTTTTTTGGGTGCTTTTTTTTATCTGTAGTCAATCAGTATACTCAGCTGGAAGTACTGACCATTAGGTTTGCTATGTTACCAGCAACCATATTTCTTTTTTCATAGGAGGAAGCAGTCATAAGATGAAAGGTGATTGCGGAATTAATACGAATTAAAAGATCTTTGCTCCCAAAAAGTAAAAGTGAGCGGTTCACTTGTAATATATTCCTTATTACCAACCATATCTAGAGGCTTGTACTATTCCACAACATCTTTAAAGTATTCGGAGTGCAATAGAACCTGGTGTAAAAGACTTTTGAGAGCTAGCTTTAAGGTGCCTAATAGTGGCTAAGACTAATTAAGTCCCCTAGCAAAGAGATCAAAGTAGGCATCAGGAATCCACTGCTATCTAAACGCAGCATTCCCTCTGCCTTCTACTGATGGAGGCTGGAAGACCATGGCAGAGAAAGAGGGAGGTCAATGTGTGTCAGCAATTCCTGGGTGAGTGTGTGTTTGTGTTATCAGTGACTGTTGTGGTGTATCTAATCTCCGCTTTGTGGTGCTGTCAGGCTCTTCTCCCACAGGGACACTCTGCAATGTGTGTTTGTCTGCGTCTGCATGTTCGTGCGAGCCAGATGTGGGTCTCAGAGGGAGACAGGCTGATAGAAAAGGAGTCACCTCTATACCTCGGCTCCTTATATGGTTTGCAGCTCACACAGACAGCCTGCTGCACACTTTGGTCACTCTGCCAAATCTTGTATCTAACTTCCTTCCTGTTGCTATAGATACACCAGGCAGGTTTGAGATCTATCAGGTCTTCAAAGTCGTACAGATACGGTCTCATATGGATTCTCAGCTGAGCTATACACAACGCACGTCACATATGCAGCATAGCTTACAGGAATGTAAGCAGTCTAAGGACTTGAGAGAGTACACAAATGTGATGATGTGTGTGACTGTCTGCCTTACCGAGCATTATTGTAAAAACAAAGTTTCTGGCAGTTTTAAACATTATTTTTGCAAATGTGGCAGATATCTTAAGATTTTGGTGGATTATCAAAATAAGGTACACTGAAATAAACACAGTCTGCATAAACACATCACTATGATGCTGATGATTTGGACACAATAATGTTTTTTGCACTAAATTAAATAGCCGGGACCAGATTAGTTTCTTTGCTTTCTTTTGCCTCCTCATAAACCCATCAGGTGTATTTTTTTTTCATGTCAAATGTTTGACTGTCTTTTGTATTTTTCAAATGCTAGATCAAGTTTGGGATGATTCAAGAGAACTAGAAATGAGATCAAATTTTATCAAAGGTATGTGAACAGCCTACACTCTGGCTGATTTACTGTTCTCAACAAGGCTTGAGAACACAGCTAGTTAGACAAAAACTAAGTCCATTATCAGCCAGCAGACAGGTGAAGTGTGTCTGTGTATGTGTATGTTCTCTCCTTACGTCGGGCATTGCGGTATAACAGAAAAGGGTGCTGGAGCTGGAAGTCCAGGTCTTTGGTGATTGGCTCTGTCAGGTTCTCCATACTGAGTCTGTTCATGATGGTGAAACCATGCCTTGGAGATGCCAATCTGAAATACACAGCACAGGAATGGCTCAGTCACAACAGAGTGCAAGAGATACTTCAGCTTTGTTATGCCAGGATGTATTAACCACTATGTACATCAACCAGCTGTAACATTATGAATAATAGGGTAATCTGATGCAATCCAATACAACAGCTTCACAATAAATTCTGCTTTCAGGAAGCATTTAGATTTTCATTTTTTGTTGACATAATCAGATAGGTGACTATGATTATGAATGATATATCCAATGTAAAGCGCTTTGAGAGTCTCTGATAAAGCGCTACATGAAATCTGACGCACTGTAATTATTTTTATTATTGTACTAGATATCTATAACTGAAGACATAGTGGGTGGCAGTGGCGGTGTGCCAGAATGAATTATACTGAAAGGTGAACATTTCCTGTCCACTTCATTAAGAAACAGGTGGTGGGAAAAATATTTGGAACACCTGTTAATATAGTGCACTCCAGCTCATCTCTAACACCCACTACAACTTTTCAACAACTAATTTCAAGAAAAATTATCAGCTGCCTGACCATGTCAACAAAAATTGAAAATGTAGTCACAGTGAGGTGGCTGTCTCTAAAATCGGATGGCCGGGGTTCGCTCCAAGGCCCCCCTGTTCATATGCCAAAGTATCCTCGGGCAAGACACTCAACCCCATACTGCCCTGGTGCTGTACTATCTCTGTGGTAGTAGGGTTGGTTTAATAGCAGCCTTTACATTTAAGAGTGTGACTGTGGTGTGAATAATATATGGCATGTGATATAAGAGTGCTTTGAGAGGTCAGAAAACTAAGTTAAACTATATGAACACAGTCCATTTCCAGTTTTTGCACTTGGTTGTACTTGACTGCACGTGTCACACTAACGTATGTTTTAGATAAACAACACAGAGAAATTGTATGGAAAATCTTCAAACTACAAGGTCTCAGAGTTCAGCAGGACTTCATTACCTTGTGTAGATAAACAGGGTGCCCTCCACCTCGGTCTTCTCCTACAATCAAGAACACACACACACAACAGTGATGAGCCAAACCTCTACAGTGTGTAACACGAGTGTGTCAGAGTCGTCAGTGGGACACGCAAAATTATACTATGGACAAACACATCCTCTTCACAAAGATAATTCGGTACAAGGCTCTTCTAAAAAGGATTTCAAACAACCTCTCTAACCACTAAGGACAGCTGTAGTGATTCACAGTACGGTAACTTAAGTTCAATCTGACTCAGTGTCACAGCGCGCCCACACAGACCAAGCTAAGCTAACTTAGCATTCACCAAACTTGGAGCTTACCCACTCATTCGCCCGGTTATTATAAGTATACAGAGCAACTTGACTCGCCACGTCCACAATGTTATTGATGTACGGGTCCTGTCGTTGCAGGGCAGCCAGACTTATGTCCAGTCCTTTAGCGGGGAGACAACTGCTGCTCCCTGCTGAAGTCGCCGTCATTGTTCCCTATGGAGAAGTTAGCTAGCAACCTAGCTTCAGCGGCTAACGAGTCAACAACAGACGAGATAAAAACCGAAACAGCGACGAGGAGAAATTACAAATGAATCTAAACTTCAGCTCAAGTCAAAGACTTTTATATTAGAGGAAAGCGAGAGTTATCGAGTCCTATCTAGTACCAGTGAGTTTGTTAACGGCCATGTTTAACCGGAGAGATTGTAAACAACCAGACATGAGTAGTCGCGCAGTCGTGGTGGAGATTTCAGTCTTGTCAATCGACTTGAAAAAATCGATTTGAAATTCAAGTTTCCTGAATCAAATTTTACTTCGACAAAGCTTCTACATTTTTCATATTTGTTGACTTGGTCAGGAAGGTAATAATTGTGAAAATGAATAAATGCAATGTTTAAGTTTTTAAGTTGGTTGTGATACTAAACTACCGCCTACTACATCTACAATAAGTGAACAAGTAGGCTTTCAAAAATAGAGTTTGTAGCAGAACAGTTTTGTTTGGTTGCATTAGACTGCCCAGGTGTTCATTGTGTGATGCCTGGTGGTCTATGAATATTTACTTGGAACCTATAGGCTGATTTCTTAATGTTAAACCAAAAACTCTGATCTGTTGGACTCTATCAAACCTAATACTACAGTATGTTTCCACTAAATATGAGCTTTCAGCTGTTTTCCCCTCCGCTGACACTTCAGTAAAATCCATTTTATATGAGTAGTTAGGCATCATGGACACAGAGGCTGATTACCATTTTCTGCAGTTACACCCACTTAAATCCACTAGGGGGCACTAAAAGGATGGTTAAGACGTAAAAATCTGCTCTCAGTCCACTGGATGGGCTGGATACTGTCAAATGATCTGAAAGCCTGAATAAGATTGTGTCCAAAAGTAGGCCTGAAGAGTTTGTGCAGGTGAAAAGAGAACATATGTAAAACAAAAAAAGTCTTAAAAATCATGTCTTTGTTTACTTTGCAGCAGGGCAATCCCCATGCAAAGAGAGACAACAGGTGTCACCCAGTGCAGAGGTTAACTCTAGACTTTTGATTTGTTTCTATGGAAAATCTTCTGTTATCTGTAAATTCATTCACATTCTCTTTTTACATTTAACAAAGCTGCCGTCCTTGTTTGTTTTAAAATAGTTTTTCTAAAGCCAGGCTAATTTATATGCAGTATTTTGACTCCTTTGTTCAAGCATCAGCCCTAGTGCTCCGCAATGGGACATATCCTTCCTGAAATTGATACTCAAGGACAGAACAGAAACTAATGCAGTAAGAGGTCTTTATGTTCCTGAAATCAAGATCAGCTTACACCCGTATCACAGAAGAACAGTCTGATCTTCTGGCAGTTCATCACCATATTTAATTGAATAATTTTTGTTCTGTTGCAAGGACACTCAGCGAAGTATCATAACAGTATATGTGTCCTCTCTTTTTAAACACTAACTCACTCTTACAAAAAAATATTCTATCCTGCTATCCTCTGGAGTAAACTGTAATACGCTGTTTCATTGCTTTCAGTCACAGACATGTTCAACAGATGGTGCAAATCCATCAACAGTCATGTAGGAGTGTCCTTGAAAAACACAATGACCATTCAACTGCTTAAGCAGCGTTGGATGAAAACATATGCTTTCAACACTTACAGCAACCTCTCGGCTCCAATGTGACTGAAGCTTTTTCAGTTACAAGTATGACACATCTGCCTTAGCATTTACATGAAAATGGCCTCTTTGTGGGTCAACGTGAGCTTTTTCATCACAGCAAGTGTGTCTGTTACTTTGCAGTTGTAGTGTACGTGTGTGTTTCTAGGTGTGTATCTCTTTGTCTATATGTCAGGGTGGTATCTGTAAATTTGCCAGAGGGTGTATGTTTGTCAATGATGAGGCTAATGAGTTATCCATCAGTGAGTCAATACTGTCTATAACTATTCAGTCAAGATTGAGTAGTTGATTCTGATTGGTTGGGATAGGGCAGGAGGTGCAGATGATTGGCTAACAGACAGGAGGGATTATAGGTTATGTCAGCAAACAGTAGTTTTTTAAAACAAAAGGAGAATAGGCATTGTACTGGTGGGCAGACATTGTATTCCACATTTAAAATAACTGTCCAATAGTAGTTTTTACAAAGTATACATTCAGAATGTGCTTATTCTTTTTGTGCATATATGCAGGAAAATACACGACATAATTATGATTGGCACAGCTTTAATTAACACATGTAACACAATGTAAGATTTTAAATGTTCTGCTATTGTCATCCATTAACAACAGAAATGAGCCAAAAGGTAAAGAGGCAGAATCAATGGAAGACAGATGGCTGTCTAGAGTGATCGATGTTTATCTGTTACATTTTTAAAAAGACATTACAATTAGCTTTTGACACTGATTTGATAGACTGAAGGTCATACATTTTTAAACTCTTATCTACATTGAGAAAGTACAGCCAAAACACCAATGAGCAGCTCCTTCCGATACGATACCATATGACGCGATATAACGTGATACAATACGATATGATACGATACATCGTGAAACGATACGATACAACTTTATTTGATTTAACACAGAGAACAATTCGATATGATATGATGCGAAAAAGTTGATGCACAATTTGTTAAGATTTGGTGGAGGATGATAAGTTACTATACAACAGACATATAATATTATAAGATTCATTGTTCTTTTAGGGGGCTTTGTCTCTCTGTCCTCATTTACAGAAGCTACTCTTTGATATAATGTAAATATAAAACTTTACTTTAGTTATTCGCTTTTTCTCTATGCATGTGGTTTTGTTTGATAATATAAAATTAATTATTTATTTATTATTATCTACTTTATCTTTTTTACCTATATGTCTTATTCATTTGGGAGAGGATGCTATACATAACTAAATACCAAGGTTTAAAGAAAGTAAAGAAAATAAATAAATATAGTCTGAAACAACATTAAATCTATAGAGAACCTGAACCAGGATTTTACCCTGTAGGCTCCAAATAAAGCAGCTCCCTCTGCTATGAGGGGATTCCCATTCGACTGACCATCAGATTGTTGCGTTCCCACATGGGATACATTTGAGAGTGTTTTTGTCTGCAGAGATTCCCAGAGACCAACTGAGCTTCAGAGTCACACACACACTCACACACATACAAAAGGGTCGGGAACCGCAAATATAGAACGGTCATAAATAGAATTGATATTCCATGTGCAGGCTGGAATACACAGAACATGTGTGTATGAGAGTGTGTGTGTTTGTGCGTCCCCTGGGCACAAGTGTCTGTTCCCACGACCTGCCCTCCATCCGTTCTTCCTTCTTTCAATCCTTCCTTCCGTCTGTCCCTCCATTCACGGGCCAGTGTAATCAAACAGAGGCTGCTTTGGCAAGAAAGTGAAAGGGAAATTTAGAGCGCTGCTAAACTGCTACACTGCTCCGTGTCCATCTGTGTCACTATCTGAGCAGACCTGCCCAGCTCACAGTCATCTGCTGTGGTTAAAAGCCATCACACGTATACATTGAAGTACAAATGAGACAATTTTGATGTGCTTGTCCCTTTATTTTTTTCAAATCCACATTTGGTCTTGAGGTATCTCTCATTGGCAATGAGGTTTAGATAGATTAAAATATATTCAAATAGAAAAAATAAGGAAAAATATTCATTTTAAACATGAGCACACTGAGGTGAAGAGGCTGAAGATAAGTGTCCTCACATGTCTTTTAAAAAGTGACTTAACTCAGCCTGTTACATAGGGCCTGCCAAAGCATGCAGATCAAAGTGCTTGACTACAAAAGAGAGAAAAAATAAGAAAAATTTGACAGAAACAGTTAAAATAATGAAAACTTGAAACAAAGAAGGTAATAAAGGAAACTTAACAAAACCATTAATGAAAAAATTAAGTAATAAATAATACTTTTAAAATTTATGCTGCTGTTGCATCTCTTAATTTTCCTGAATTTATGAGAAGACTTTCATTTCCCCCCTCTTCATGTGCCTGGCAACAAAAGCTAATATTTTTTATATTGACATTTTATTGTGGTATGATAATGTCTCTTTTACAGTGTACTTAAAAGCACTATTGATTTTTTCTGACTGTTTAATTAAATGCCAAAACTAATTTTGGTAACACCTTTTATGAACTCACCTCTAATAATGCATCATAAGCACATTTATTAAGCCCTGTGACTGCACTATCAGGCTTTATAACAACCTTTATGGGTGATAAGCATTTATAGAAGCTTATAGCAATGTGTATGAAGCGTTATAAGCAGTGAGCACAATATCTTATAAAGGCATGATGCAAAATGACACTGACACTTTACTTAAAGCACCCAAAGTCACTCTTGAGCATGTTGTGGGTATCAATAAGACATTTTCTCAACTGAGAATCATAGAAATTATAACTTTTTTCATTAGAAATTGAATTAGTTATTTATGAATCTGTATAACCGGGTGAAGTTGTGAGAATTCAAATGTGCTGTCAAACCCAGAATTCAAAAGATGCTGTTTCTCATCTGAAGCCTTATGGATAACTCCATATGGCTTTATAAAGGTGCTTATGATGCATTATGATAGGTGGGTTCATATAAAGTGTTACCCTTTTTTTCTTTACTACTCCAGGCAAATGGAGTAAGAAAAACTAGGAAACAATACTTGATCTTATAAGCGTAGTGTTAATACGGTTGATGTCACAGGGTCTGTGATAACTCACATGTGGATCACACTGTGCCTACTGCACCAAAATGAAACTATTAAAAAATGCTGACTTTATGTATATGGATATGTGTTCCTCACTCTATTATAGTTCAACTAATATGAAACTTTGCTGTTGCATATTATGAGGATTACATAAATTGGAGATACAGAAATATCCAGCTTTCTCAGTGGAGTCCAGTTTCATCTCCACTGAGGATTCAGTTGTTGTTCTACAAAGGCCTTAGAGAGGATTTGAAAGAGTCCAAACAACCAGCTCTTTGAAGTTCGTTCCATAATAAAGTAGTGTTAGCAGTAATACGATGTTCTTACTGTTGCAGGGGTTTAGTATTAAATAGATTAACGACTGAGTCCAACCATCACGAGTTTCAGGTCTGCTCTGGGTTTGTCTCTAAGCTTGTGTTCTTACTAACGTCTAAAATTATGCTTTCTCCCCAAAATACATCAGGCATGAGAGAGAAAAAGTAATTTTCACCCACTGATTAATGCCAGTATTCAACAGTTTTTTTTAACTTTCTCT